GAGTTGTATTATGCAGACGACAGTGTTGTTTACACCTCCAGCTGTAGTACCTGCAACTAATCTAACAACATCCAAGACGCGGCTCGACCGGCAAGTTCAGTCGACGGTATCAAAACCCATGCGATAAAAACTCAAGCTTAATGGGTTGTATGAAACCCAATGGAACCAACGGAATCCTGAAAATTTAGCTTCCACTATATGAGTTCAGCCGACCCATTTCGGCATGAACATCCGGGAAGTACCAGGATCCCTTGAAGCTGTTTGTTTATTGAGTCATGCAATCGGTATTGCAACTCATATTCGGTCCGCGATTGGCACTTCCGCGAAAGGCGGTTCATCAGAATATACGGTGGCCTGAGAGCCCTGTGAAGAAAAATAGGAATTTTCGCAAATGAGTTTGTAGGGTTATCACTCGTCTATCAACAAGCACGAGTAGAAGCCTTATTTGTGCCTGGTGAGATGAAATAGGTCTTACGATGGTAGATACCAAGAGAAATTTAGGCACCTGGCACTCTTCAGGCCTATCGTTCTAAAGTACTGTTACAAATAGACTCAAAAGTCATGCGTCATCATACGGCGATTTGGCACACTTACACCAATAACGGCACGGACTTCCGGAGACTTAATGGTATCCACTTCAGACCGCTTCTTGAATAGGCTAACCAGGTTGTCTACTCGGGACGCAAAAAGTGCGCCGCATTCATTGAACATGTCCAACGGACTGCCGCAAAAATGATTGCCAGCCTCAACTCCTTGGATTATGAAACGCACCTTGCGTCGATTGACTTCCTTCCTCTAGATTATCGTCACCCTTGAGGAAATCTAATGCTTCCTTATGGCCCGTCTAAACAGGGTCTGGACAACATGTTTTTAACGTTTAACCCAAATAACACTCGGTGGACACGCAGTAAGAAGATTTTCAAGCTCAGAATGCACTTTCACTAGGCAAAACTTTTCACATTTCCGGTAGCTGATTCATGGGACAACCTTCTTCGGACGATTGTTCACGCTGAATCTAGTACCAAGATGAAAGCACTATTAGACGCTTTTCATGCGAGTCCTTGCACTGAGAAGTACCGAGGACATGAAGAGCACTGATACATCCATTTTTGATAAAAAAAATGCCTCGCTAGTGCAAACGACGTTTCCTTCAGGATCCTGCGATGGACCTCGTTCGGTTCCAACGCACAGAACGGGTTCTTCTTGTGCAGGAATTGTTGATCACTCCTCTCCCAGAAAAACAAATTGGTAAGCGGTCATTAGCATAAGGTTGCTGGGGCAAACAACATGCATGCATATTGTTCTCTCTAGACTGCAGATACCACTGAGTGGTCACCCCTAGTTTCCTGTTCCTGTCCCTCGAGGAGAACGCGGTCAGCCTACTCCTGCGGCAATGTCTCATATAGTGAAAAAACATGTTTTTGCTTTTTTCAGCGGGACGTTTATAAGGTGGCTTATTGTCAGATGTTCTATTAACCGATTTCCATATCTGTAATTATCAATCCACCATGAGAAATCGGCCCAAAACGCATTCGTCATTCTACGGATGATCCGACGCACCTTCTCCAGTATTGCATGCATGGACTTCCAAATACTCTATGGGGCCTACGTCAGACGGCTCCTGGAATACGCCAACCAAGTTGTCTACTCGAACGCACGAAAGACGTTATCCTCATTGAGCGTGTCCAGCGGGCCGCTACGAGAATGGTTACCGACCTCAAATCCGTGGGCTTCGAAACGCGTCTCGCGATGCTTGATCTCTTTCCCCTGGAGTACCGTCGCCTCCGAGGGGACCTGATTCTTACTTATGCCCTGTTTGAACAAAGCATGACAAACAGGTTGACCCAGCAAACACGGCGTGGACATAGTAAGAAAATTTTCAAGCTCAGAGCACACACATTCATTAGACAAAATTTTTTCTCATTTCGGGTAGTAGCTNACATAAAGAGCAGTGCTACACCCTTTTTTCACTTGTGCCTTTCAGGTGAACGACAGCCACTGACCGACAAGAACAAAACCGACCCAGGAAACTTGGGCAAAAGCCTCGATCCTGTGTATCAATCCGTGAATCCGTGAACCTGTCTTATAATAATAATGTATATTTCCTACTTGTGTGTGGCGTGATCATGCGTTTACATTCAGGCTGGGGTATGATAGGGTTTTTTGCGGGTAGGGTGGATTGTGCGAAAAGGGACAGTGTCATAAACAGTGGGAGGTACTCGATTAAAGAATAATAATATGTTTCTTTTGCAACTTGTAGGGAACAATAAGCGTGAGGTCCAACTACTTCAAAGACTCAGTCGGCCGACATGAACTAAAACTGGAATTTCATTGCTGGCCATGAGTGACCTTGGGCGGCTGGGTAAATGGCCGGAGTCATAACGAGCAAAAGTGGAGGTGCCCCCTGTAGTAAAATTTCAGAAAAAAGTCAGTATCTCTCCTCCAGAAGGCGCCGATTCCCTTTAAGGAGCTTCATCGGCTTTTTCGAAATGAACGTTGCGTCAGAATTATGAACTTTCTGGTCATTGATCATGAATAGCTGGTTCCAGTTTAAATTGATCAAGAAAGATGCGCATTTCTGTGAAGTCTGCACGACAGAATTTTCTAATCCACGTTTGGGGATCGGAATCTGTCGCCCAGTAGCCAATGGAATCAAATGTCATCATGCAGTGGTCACTACACCCTAGTGGAGGGTTGATTGACACCCGAGCAACGAGGTGTCTCTCGCTGATGATCACCAATTTCAAGAAGGATGGTAGTTGGCCTGCGCGGTATCTGGTGGATGCGACAAGTTGAGGTCATGCGCTCTGTTGAACTTTGGTCAGCGCCGCTACAAAATGTATACTAGACCAGACGTTTCGAAGCTCTATCCAGAGGGCCCTGGAAGCATTTAATTCACCTACAAGTAACAGATGTATGAGGTTGTAGTGAAAGGAGATTTGCTCAAACATTTGCATGAGAATTCGGTCATCTTCCGGGGGATTCGAATGGCGACGGTAAACCACACGAGAAGAGAATCGGTTCGAAGCAGCGGGATTTGGATCCACAATGCAGGAGCGGTATCGGAGAGGACGATCGGGATGGGTGGGGCCGGATATAAATGTAAAGCAGCCTCACCAACCCTCGCGAGCTTTGAGTCAGCTGGTAAGAGCGTAGCTGTCTATTAAGATTGCGACATCCGGTGTGAGCCAGGTTTCCCTAAGTACAGTTATGGGCGTCTGTTTAAGGCAAGCTGCTTGTCCACAATCGGGATGCTTGCTGAAGAGACCGAGGCAGTTTGCGGACAAGAATTTCAACACGGACTCTGCGACCCCCGAAGGTGGGAAGCCGGGAGGTTGGCTGTCATGGTGGTTCGCAAATTTATTAGCTGCACGCCGGGCTTGAGTCCAAGGCTACGAAGGGACATTTTCGGCAAACTTTTCCAGTGATTTAGGTCTCGTTGTGGCCTGAAATGCCAAGTTGTCCACCTAAGCTGGCATTCCGCGCAACGCTGATGTGTCGCGGGGGCATATATTCAGGTTGATACGGCATTCAGCCTAGCGTCCAATGTGGAAAGTTTTCATCACATCCTCGAATCGGCAACTAACCTTAGCATTACTTCTGTGGTGCCTTCTGCTGGCATCCTACACTGTCTGGATAATGGTGAAAGTCTGCATGAAATACCGCGGATGAACGGTGGATATCGCACATGCACCCTGATACGCTGTCTTCAGGATTCGTCAGGAGAGCTGATATTGGGAGGATACCGACGTTATAATTCAGAGGCTGGATTGTCAAATGTCGCGTATCATGTTGGGGCTCGCCGATCTGCAATTAACCGCGACAATCGCAAAAAACTTTGGGATTCTATTCTCCCGTGAACGTTTTACTGTCTACTGCAGTTTTCTGGTTGCATAAACTATTCAAATCTCGTTTTTATAATTGAGGCCTCCAACCTAAATCCACCCTGAGATGTTGAGGTTCGCGTAGTTGTAACCTTAGGGTCGACCCCCGCAGAAAGCCACGGAACAGTTAGGCTCCATTGAGAGTTTGAGGCATATATGAGGCGTATCACAAAAGGTGTTTTCAGTGTCCGAACGTTGGCCTTCCAATCACGTCCAACGTTTTTTTCGAAATTAGAGCCCAGTATAATTTCATATAAGGCCGTTTCTTCAGGCTATGTTACCGAGCACATTGACAAGTTTTCGTTGCCTGGATAATTCTCTCCTGAAGGCAGCGGTAACGGATATTGAAAGTATTGCTTAAAATAGGGGTCAGCAATGTAAGTGGAAAGATTGTCGAATGTGATCTTCGTGATTCGGGCCGCGTCTGCGTCAGATGAAGACGAAAAAGGCGTTCCCTTTCTGAGTATTCCGTCCGAGCCAGTAATTCAATGAGCCCCAGTCGCACTTCTTCAAAATGACTTTGTTGGTGCTACAATAAGTTTGGGAGCTAATACAATTCAGTAGACATCTTGAGACCCATATCTCTAGCTGTATTAATGGCATTTCCCCGGCTTATTTTTCAGTCTGAACTAACCTGGTGTTCCCGTCCAAACAACCACCTGAAGTGGAAAACGAGAATTAACCACCGAAACCAGACCAAAACAGTGCATTGATTGTATAAAGTGCATGCGATGACAATTTTTTGGAAATTATGATGCCTTCTGGAAACGGCTTTGTGCGGTAGATAGCCGATCACATTTGTCTGTTTGGCCCATAATTTCGGCCAATCAGAGCTTGCCTTGATCTGGACCAGCAGGAGATCGGTTTTCTGACCAATCGTGTGCGGGACAGGCCCTTTGGCGGCTGCCGCACCTGACAACGATATCGCTGTGGAATCCCATCTAACAAAATTAACAAACTTGAATAAGCCGTGAGATAGGAAATTAAAATATGAAATACTGCTGATGAAGAGTGAATAATCTGCAGATTTTCCATCAAAGAAGATGGAGACTGGTGGTTCGCCCAAAAGGCATTCGCCATTTTACGGATGATCCGACGCCTCTTCTCCCGTATTACTCGCATGGACTTCGAAATACTCTATGGAGCCTACGTCAGACCGCTCCTGGAATAGGCTAACCAAGTTGTCTACTCTGGACGCACGAAAGACGTAACCCTCATTGAGCGTGTCCAGCGGGCCGCTACGAGAATGGTTACCGACCTCAAATCCGTGGGCTTCGAAACGCGTCTCGCGATGCTTGATCTCTTTCCCCTGGAGTACCGTCGCCTCCGAGGGGACCTGATTCTTACTTATGCCCTGTTTGAACAAAGCATGACAAACAGGTTTTCCACCGTTGACCCAGCAAACACGGCGTGGACATAGTAAGAAAATTTTCAAGCTCAGAGCACACATTCATTAGACAAAATTTTTTCTCATTTCGGGTAGTAGGTGCGTGGAATGAAAGAGCAGCGCCACACCCTTTTTTCACTTGTGCCTTTCAGGTGAACGACAGTCACTGACCGACAAGAACAAAACCGACCCAGGAAACTTGGGCAAAAGCCTCAATCCTGTGTATCAATCGTGAATCCGTGCCTGGTGAATATTTTGAAGCATTTAGGAGGGAAGAGAATTTGCCCGCAGAATCAGGCACGTTGACAACTATTCCTGTCTTGTAGTGGGTGAAAACTCGTGAAGACCTGTGTGGAAACCACTGCAGTAGCAGCCTGGTAGCTGTGGTGCCACATTCCTTTTTCGACTTGTCGTTTCGTGCTGAACAAGAGTCGTTGAACGACAGAAATAAACCTTACCGAGGAAGCCCGGACGAAATCCGTGATCTTTTGTTGTGTCCGTTTACGTCCCAACGGCCTGTAGCTCTAAATCCGCCAAAGACAGCTTCTATGGCCCTCTAGACTCTCTTATACAATGGGCTGAAATCTCAAACATCGTCGTTGCTGGTGTCACGAGCACAAACAAGTTTATCAGAATGGATGCTGGAACGTCCGCCAAATAATCCTATATCGAATATCACTGGAGGTTTATATTCGAAGCGCTGGAACTGTTGTATGCGGTACAACCCAGCCAGCCTCATTCAAGCATAGGATCTGTGATAGGACTGTAAATCTGCAGAAAACCCGGTGACGGATTCCTCCTGACCACAAACAAAACCTAACCTGGCGCAGCATCCAGCACCAGGCAAGACTGGGAGTCCTTTCTGACCGAAAGGTTTGAATCCTCCCCAGAGCCGAAGAAACAGGGGATAAGAAAAATGCCTGAAATGTCCGTAGTTGGTTATCCTTGTTTCATTCGACTAGTCTCCGGTAGGCTATTGTCAGTGAGACTATAATGGACCAAAATGGTTCTGTGATATCCAGCAAAGAAGAATGACTGGAACACTGGGCCTGTAAATATGGAGCCCCACTCAGCGTCATAATCATCTGACTTTATATCAATAATTAAGCGTCATCATTCTCTTGGTCATGAGGACCTCCCACCTGCTCTGTTTCGGGGACGACGGTGAATTTTCCTCCAGTGCATGTCCAACCTATTTGTGTCTGTCTGCGAGGAAGACTGGCTAGAGCAATTGAGGTTAGTCGACAATGATCCCCATCTTCAAAAAGGGTATTTGAAATGAAAGTGGTAACCGCAGGCGTACCGATTTACCTGCCTTTGTAAGAGGGCTACGGAGTCACTGATTCCTCAGCGTCTTACGGCCGTGCTCTAAACCTTGACCTGTGAACGTCAGGTGGAATTTCAATTTGGTGGAGTCTGCGTCGACCACATCTTCACATGCCATCAGTTATCAGAGTACCGTCATACGTACAATGCTGCAAGCTATTTGGAATAAACTGAATAGTTCCGCTTCAAAGTTCGCTATGCGCTTCGCGTTTGGTAAGTGGGTGCTGCTGTGAAATTGGTTGGGATCAAACCAAACCTCATCGTCGCAGATGAACCCGCGCTTGAGTGGAGACATTGCAGAAAGTATCGGCCGGTCGATGTCAGTTGTATTCATGCTGACAGTTTTTTTCCAGATTTTCTGACTGTGCGCTCGGAAATGTAGGGACGTCAGACTGCCTGCGTTATGCTAGCATCAGGTGCCTTCCTCCCTCACTCTTATCTTCTTTCCACCTAAAGATTTTATGTCTAATTAGATAAACTTTGTGGTTGTACTAGAGTGAAGCATCACTATCAACACGGACGTTGCTGTCTTAGATGATGGTTACGGTTAGCCTCCCTGTTTCGCCAAGTTATGATTGCTCCTGAATCGTCCCCAGCCGACACAGAGCTGGGCGAAAAAGGTCGTACTAGGCGAATGGTCCTCTGGCATACGAACTACTTGGCATAACCAGCGTAATTTGTGGAGAATGACCCGCCGATCTCTTCATATAGGATGAACTTTCCTGAAAACTGTCTGGCGTACCTCAGCATTAATGTTAGGATATTCCTACCAGACCGGCGCAAGGCTTAGGAAACACTTATTGTGAAACGCAGGGTCATCGAAGTTCTTCCTCACGCAGCGGCCACGACTCATCCCTAAAGTTGAACAGATCGGACTGCGGCATCATACATTCTACCCATGAAAGCCATGCTGCTCTCGCATTGACACACAAATGTTGGAGTTTGACAGACGCTACCTGGTCTTCCCTATTTGCCGGTTCATTTGCAAACAAGAGACTTGGTTTGGTCCCAACCAAACTTATGGAAGTACCTTCCACTATAAAGGTGTGGAGGGTGCAGTAGAAATATTTAGTCAGTTCAAAGGGTTTGCGTTTTTAGAGGGTCTAATCAGGAGAAAAATACCGGCGAACACAGTGCCAGTGAGCGGACGCCCCGGGAACATTTCGGTCCTCGAGGTGTTGAAGGTAGATAAAGAAGACTGAAGCAGGATGTCGATGACGAAGTTATGGGGAAAGGGTTATAGGGCACACCTTCACCCGATACCACTGGATGTGCTAAATTCAGGAGGGGTTTGTCGTAGACACATACGCGCCTACGGGAGGAGTCATATAGAGTCTATTGGTTGTCCATCAGGTGGCTGTTGACATGTTCGCTGTGATTGGGGCGAGATGGCCCAAATGGTTAGAGCGCGAATTTACTGACCGAAAGGTCGGTGGTTCGAATCCGACATCTGCCTCGACTTCCCTTGTCTAGGCTTGGGCAACCTGGCAATATCCCAGCCTTCGTGCTTCCTTCTGGAGGCATGGCAGTTAGGCACCGAAAGTGTGTTACAGCTGAACGACTTTTCACCCAAACTCTTCGTAACTTCATTCATCCCTTTCTGCCGTGTCAAACTCTGTCCACTTCTAGCTTTCCGACTAAAAATAGCTGCACCTCTATTTTGAGCTGGATCAGTGATTACAGCGCGAATTTACAGTGCGGAAATTCTTTTGTTCGAACTCGACTTCTGTATCTCGACTGGTTCTGTCTAAGCTTGGGAAATCTGGCAGTCTGTCAGCCATCCTACTTCTTTCGGGTGGCATGCTAGTTATGCACCGAAAGGGTGTTACAGCTGAGCGACTAGATTTCCGCCAATCCGAATTAGGCACGGAAAAAAGCACTCTTTTAGGTAGGCGATAACTCGGCATGCGTGACACATAGTCGAGCCACCGTAGCTTGCAGTGCTGGATACATTCTTTGGACGAATCACCGTCAGTTTCACCAGTGATGGTGATGAATTTCACCAAAAACTCGTTTCATAATCGTCTCAGTTCAAAATCACTGGTTCCATTGGATTTCTGCTATAGATCTGAAACATCGGCTATCAGAGTCCTGAAGACTTCTAAGATCCTACTTCCGGGTCCACTCTTTTCATTTTTCTTTAATTTAGTTGTCGATGATATGAGACGATCGTTGGAAGGTCTTCAAAACCCCGGTGTTCGGATCTGTCCGAGCGAGAACCTTGTCAGAGTGGAATAGTTGGATGACATTGTTCTTATTTTTGGAAATAGAGCGGGAAGCCTACTACCATCACATTCGTATCGTAGAAGACAATAACAACTTGCCTCCAGGTTTTAGACGCTGAGTATTTCGCTTTGGCCTCCCGTTTTGTCTGGTGTGCACCATCCTTGCATTCCGACTAACCTTAAAGCCCCAGTTTATAAAGGTTCATGTATTGTTCTTTTTCGTTCATTTTCAGTGGTGACCGGTAGTTTTCATCCGTCTGGTTGCCAGGGGACAAGTCGATACATCCATTTACAATGAGAGCAATCAGTTTTTCCGTTTTGTTGGTGTGCTTCCTGTTTTCTGGTGCACTAGGATTGCCGGAGAAAGGTTTATGGAAAGAGCATTTCACTCATGTAAGCCCAGTTGTTCTTTTCTTCCGTGCTCCCTTCCATTTTTAGAATGCCAAAGTTAGTATGGAAAGATCGATGGTGAATAACTCGGAGATTTATGCAAAAAGTTAGCTTGCACGCATCGCAGTAATCCGTTTATCATTACATAGTTTACTGTCAGGAGGAACTGAACCTCCACGTGGCTTGGTTCCTTTTCCAGTCGCCGTGTATTGAAATCTTTTTGGATACTAACCTTGTATGTTTCCGTCACTTTGTTCACTTTACCTTCTTCGCTGTGTTCGGTAGACCAGTATGTCGCTGTGGGACAAGAGTTTCAAAACCACTTCAGACAAGCTCACTTATAAGACGGGCGCGAAGGGACTGAGTTGCACGGCTTCCAAACCGCTTTTTATTGAGGTTGGTCGTCTTACTCGTGTTTGCACGTCATGACCTTATTCTGACAGGGTTCAGACGAAATCCACTCATATCTTGGAGTAAAAAAGGTGAGTCTTGCTCAAACAGCGTACTCTCGGAAGATGATCTCTATACCTTTTGAAGTGTGCATGTGCTGATAGGTAATCGAACTACGCTAGGCATTTCGGACCATGACACTGTTCCATGTACCCGACGGAAAGGATATCACTTGGCGAAAATAGTAGGATTATTTATTGGTTGCAACTTTGGGTTTAGTTTGAATGTGCCCTTTGTCTCTTTGTAGCGTCAGTTAAGAGAGCCGGCTACTGTGGCTATTCCTGTAAAATCGCAGACGTTAACTGGTTGCAGCATGTACCCAATGAGACGTTGCGTAAGTGAATACTGGGAAATGAGTCGGGTTCGCTCGAGCAACAGATAGACCTTATCAGGTTGAGGTGGTTGAAGTATGTACTAAATATCCTGGACTAGCATCTACTAAAAATGCTGCGTTTTACGGTCCAAACTATTGTTGGCAAAGAGCTCGCGGAAGACATGAGATGAAAGCATCTACTGCTAAGTTGAGTGGGATCTTCGCGCCTTTCTGTATAGAGTTCATGTGATTCTGATTGCGCGTGGTTTGAAACTCTACAGACATGATGCATGACCGATGGGGAGCTCGCCGTTACCTTCTAGCTAGCGCTCCTCTATCGTTGCGTGATGGGCTTTTATTTGATGAGGTCTGCAGAGACGCAATCCAACTGATAGCCTGCTGCCCTAGTAGATGATTCGTTGCGTTTGTCTTACTGGTTTTGGAAGGTGTAGGCTGCTCCCTGTTGGATGTTTCCCGTAGACAATAATCACCCACCCATCTCTTTCCTTTTAATTTTTTACTAGGACCATCTTTCTTCATTATTGCGTGACAGTTAAGAACCGGTTGGTGATGAAGTGGCTAATTGACTGCAGTTTTGGATGCCGGATTTTAGGCTCATTTTGCCAGCCCGTAGGTTCTAAAAAATCTAACCTAGTTGCAGGTTGAGTAGAGGTACATACTGTTGAAAACCTTGGTAGTATTACCCTTCTCGTCATCTTCCCATATTCATTGTGAACCACCACAATGGTTGCCCCATTAATTCTGTGAATAAGGTCCAAATTTATAGGTGCCGACTATATCGGGCCAGGGTTGTCAATTGATTTTAGTCGTATTTAGTAAGCTTTGGTTGATTATTTCATGAGAGCTCAAAACATCCATCCAGAATGCGCCAACTCTAAAATGTGTTGCGGACGAATCAGCTATAGTTTTTCTTTATTATTACTGCCTTTTCCGGTGCTCCGGATAAGGATACATATACACATGCATATACATATACATATACGTATACATATACATATATACATATACATACACATATGCATGCAAACATTTCGAAATAGAATATAACGTACTATTTTCGACTCGTGGTTATCGAAGTGCCTTTACTGGAATAAAACCTTTCGTAAACGAGGATCGCATAATAGTCTGGTTTGGATAACCACAACTTGGGGTATAGGCGAATCGTCTGTGAACGCTGGATTCTACTTTTAGTGCAGTGTAGGGACCTAGAGAATCTACTGCCAAGATCAACATGAACCAATTTCCGCTTTTTTGTTGTGTATTGAAGAGTAATTTTCAGACGGAAGTTGGTTCTTCACGCTCCCAAAGCCTGTTTGTCTGTTGATGTCTTAATATACCAGTTCTGTAGACTGCGATGCTAGTTGCATCGTCATTTTATTGCAAGTATTGCGCTAGCTGTTTTTTTGACCTAATGCCATTCGTCGTCACTTTTCATTTTAGCAACTGAATTCACCACAAGTATCAACTCCTCTTCCGGTGAGTTACGTCGATTACCTTTTCTGTGGAATGATCACTTCTGTGTTCCTGGGTTAGCCTTATTTTCTTTCCTGCACTGACTGCAGATGTTCACTTTACTGTCCGATCCCAATCCTTCACGTTTTTTCCATGCCTTTGTTCTTTGAATAGGGTCTACTCACTAAAACCTGGGATTCCGGGGCTCATTTGTTTCTGCTCAGCGTCATCTGCGCCACGGAAGACTGTAACATGAATGTTGACGGTAAGTCCTGTACTATTCGCCGTTGTGTATATGTGGCCGAGATTTTAGGTTGTGCCCAAGTTCCCAGTCCCGTCGATTATCCGATGTCGAATTTTCAAGACTGACTTATCTTGGTTCGTAAATCATGATACCCAAGCCACCCCTTCTCCCGAAACTGCTCTCTTCTTGAATGTACCCCCTTAGTGGAGGGGGTGTGTGAAGACCACAAGCCTTTAACCACAAAATTTCCCATCAGCCTCAAAAGGTGTGGATGAAATAATCGCTTAATCACCCATTTGCATATCAACTTGGTTTTCACGGTAGACTCAGCTGAATTTCTGGTGTAGGGTATTCAAGTAGAACCTAAGGTTGACGGAAGCTCGAGGACCGCACCTACTTAATGACCCCCTAAAAAGGGTGAAACCGGTCGTGGGCTCTCAGCACCCTTGTGAATAGTCCTTTTCATGAAAATATACTGCGCTATGTCGAATATCGTACTAATTGAAATATGAGGCGGCCTTTGTGCAGCACATTCAATTGAAGGATACCATAAACAAGAGATTCAGTTGAGTCTTTCGTGAGAACCAAATTGATTTGCAAATGAGTGTATTTCTCGAAAACAGTGCAATTTGGGTTCAAGTAATACATAAGGTTGACGGAAACTCGGAGACTGCGCCTATCTGATGAGCTCCAAGAAGGGCGAAACCGGTCGCGGGCTGTCGAAGAGTTTTCAGCAACCTTTGAGTAGTTTCCTTTATGAAAACTGAGCATTCCTTCGCCTCCAAGACTTGGTTGTATATCTCACACTCCCGTTTTCCGGTGATCGAAACTGTAGCGGCTGGAACCAATGTGCCTAAGATAGTCTATGATGCCTATGATGCCTATAGCTGATAAATTGAATTGAATTGAATTGGGTTCCCCTTATCAAAAAGTCACGTAGTCATGTTTTTGATGATTTCCTAAAAATGAAACATGACATCAGTAACGATGGAATGAAAAACAAATCTAACTTTTTCTAATTTCGGACATTTGAGCTCTCATAGATCCATATCCGGTAAATAAGCGAATGAAAGCGGCACTAGAAGTTCCCGAATCGCCCTGATGAAATACGTGATCTTTTCTGTAACAGTACGCACCAGAAATGCCAACTTTAGGGTTATTTATCCAACCGCCATTTTTTCAGTCACTCTTATAGGGCAAAATCATTTTTCTTTCCTTTAAGCCACAACAACCGCTACACCGGGGTCGAATATGAAGGTAAAAAGTGGATCCCATTATGTTAAATGGGGTCCTGGGGGTCAGCCTTGCTACTACTCTCAACACAAAGATGTTTTACTGCCGTCGTCCTCATTTTGACCTACTGCGGCAACGTACATCGGGGGGAATTATTCAAAACTGATTGGCGCCGTTAAATGACTCTGCGTCGAACGCAGTCTCCTAACAAACCCAAGTTACTGTCCCGTACGGGTTAATACTTCCGTCGATCGTATGTTCGTTATTTTCTAGAGTGATCATCCCTCACTTTCTTTTGTTAGAGGATTTTCTATCAGACTCGACAGACGGTACATTTCTGTTGGGAGCTGCGGACTTTCTGTCTGGTAGCGCAGATATTGCACCCCTTGGAAAGAAAGTCGAGGGTCTCAAGTTGAAGTGAAAACGTTATCAAATCACTTGATATTTATCATGACTGACACCTTGATTGTAACTTGAAGTTTGGATATTTAGTCATTACGATCTGGGCACTCATGTACTGCCTGGTCATAGTGCAGTTCGAGCACAATTAGAAGGCTACTCTTAGTGAGAAGATCGCTGCTGTTGCGGCTACTTTGACCATTCCCCCCATTACGCCCGATGGACGCATCTTCTCCGTTACATCACATGGATGAAGGATTTACTCGTATCGTGCAAAACTTGAAACATCGATTCAGTTGGGATTGTGCATGAAGGATGGTCAGGTCTTTGTCTCAAAATCAAGCTTCCTGAAAGCCCAGTTACATCATCATCATCATCATCATCATCATCATCATCATCATCATCATCATCATCATCATCATCATCATCATCA